AGGCGAAGCCCAGAGAGGAGCTCTAAGCGTAGTGGAGCACCACATAGCTCACAACCTGGGTCTCAGCTACTTGGAGGACCTAATGGACTACACGCAGACCCCAGCCCCCACGCAACAATGAGGGACACACTAAACCTCCTACAATATAACGTGCACAACTCTGCGAGAGTTATGGGTGCGTTATTGGCAGACCCTGCAACAGAAGACAAATACGACGTAATTGCAGTACAAGAGCCCAGCCGGAATCCCCACATGCTAGCAACACACTGCCCCAGAAGCTGCGGCTTCTGGCCAGCATATCACCCGGAAACACACCCAAGAGTATGCTTTCTGGTCAACAAAAGGCTCGTGGAACACACATGGGAATGCCACTACCACTCAGAATACATTGCAGTGCTGACAATCACCACCGACCTGGGTAAGGTGCAAATAGTCAATGTGTATGCACCTCCTCCAGGGGGCTACAGCAGTGAACCGGAGGAATCCCCCATAGGCCAGCTGCAGGAGGTAGCCGGAATGGGCACAGATGCAGAGCTGGTCATATTAGGAGATCTTAATGTCCACCATGAGAGGTGGGGAGGGGTGAGAGTGGAGAGAAACTTCCGCATGGCATGGCAGCTAATAGCACAGGTGGATAGGCTGGGTCTCCAGCTTGCCACACCTGTAGGGGCTACCACATGGCAGGACAGAGGCAGCCCAGGAACGACTATAGACCTCGCCTTTCTATCACCACTCCTGCACGACAAGCTCAGGAGGTGTGCAATAGCGGAGGAGGCATGCAAAGGATCTGACCATAAGCCCCATAGAAACAACACTGGAACTCACACCCATCCCAAAGGAGGCTGAGAGACGAAACTGGAAGAATGCGGAGCCTGAGGAGGTAGCAAGGGACTGCCAAAAGCTATATGTGCCACAAAGCCTGGACTCCAGGCAAGCAGTCAAGGAGTATGCAGACTACCTGGTAGGATTTGTAGGGACATTAGCGGACAAACACGCCACCGTAAGTAAGGCTGGGTTAAAATCCAAGACATGGTGGTCACCGAGGGTGGCCAAGGCAGTGGAGGAGTACAAGCAAGCTAGGAGGTCCCAGCTCCCAGAAATGGAGCGGCTCAGGGCACGCTGCAGGCGCAACAGAGAAATCCACTTGGCTAAGACAGCAAACTTCAGAGATCTGGTTGACAGGACCCGTGGTGACCCCAGATTGATGTGGGGACTAGCAAAATGGGGCAAGGAAAGAAGCCATTTGCCCCCACAGGCACCTACTGTCCCCCCCCTGAGAACAGGGGAAGGGGCTGACGCGACGGTAGAAACCTCTTTTGAGGGGAAGGCTGAGGCATTACGACAACGGTTCTTCCCACAGCCAGAGCCCGCCGACTTAAGTGACACCAATATGGAGCTGCTGCAAGCTGAAAGGGAAGCGTCAAATGACACCATCAGTGTGGAGGACATGGAAAGCCTGATCCAGAGACTGCCAAACAGGAAGGCACCAGGGAGGAGTGGGATCACCAACGAGTTCCTTAAGATGCTGGGCAGAACATTTGTGGAGGCCATAACAGCTCTCACCAATGCATGCTGGCATTGGGAGACTTACCCAGACACGTTTAAGGAAGCCAAGACAGTGGCCTTGCGCAAGCCAGGGAAGGCTGACTACCAGACTGCAGGAGCGTGGAGACCCATTGCCTTGCTGGACACAATAGGGAAGATTGTGGAGGCAGCAACTGCAAAACGCCTGCGGAAGATCGCGGAGGACCACAACCTGCTACCCTCACAGCAAATGGGGGCAAGAAGGGGCAGGTCCACTGAAACAGCCATAGCACAACTTCTAGCCCAGATAAGGACAGTGTGGCAGCACCCGGGACAGGTTGACAAGGTGCTGCGGGAGCGAATGGTTCACATCCTCCGGCGACTGGGCATCCCCAGGGACCTGGTGGGATGGGTTGCGTCCTTCATGACCAACAGGAAATCCACAATTGCCTTTGAGGGCCAGGAATCAGACACCTTTGACATCCCAGCAGGCATCCCGCAGGGGTCACCCCTATCACCTATACTATTCCTATTCTACAATGAGGAACTGGTGCGCATCTGCTCAAGACCGGGGCGCCCGGTGGTGTGCATAGCCTTTGTAGACGATGTCAACGTGATGGCCTATGGCCAGTCCACTGAGGACAACTGCAGGGAGCTCCTGCGCATGCATCGGGCATGCGAGGAGTGGGCAGCACGGCACGGAGCGGTCTTTGCCCCCCAGAAGTATGAGCTAATGCACTTCACACGGGCGCGCAACCAATTCAACCTACAGGCTGAGCTGAGACTACCAGGACAAACTATACAACCGAAACAGGTGATGAAGGTATTGGGTGTATGGTTAGACTCTAGGCTGAGATGGAAGGGCCACCTGGACGCGGTGGCAGGCAAGATGAAGACTCAAGTCAGAGCACTGTCCCAAACCACCCAATCCACATGGGGGCTCCCACTACAACAAGCGAGAATGGTGTATAACATGGTCATCAGGCCGGCCCTGACCTATGGAGCAATAGCATGGCACCAGCCACAGGGGCAGGGGGGCACGGGTCCAGCTAAGTCAGGACTGGCCCTCAAGCTGACCACAGTGCAGAACTCCTGCCTCAGAATAGTGGCAGGGGCATACAAAAGAACCCCAACAAGCACACTGGAAGCGGAAACCCACACAGTACCCTTAGACATCCACCTGGATGGGCTAGTGGCAAAGGCGGTCAACAGGATGAAGGCCTCAGGAATGGCGCAACAAATTGAGAATGCGTGTGCGGCCATAAGGACCAGGCTTCGGCACCGTGGGGTGACAAGGGGGGCACAGAGACACATGGGAGCTGTGGTTCACCCGGCAGCCCTGCCAGTGGACTGGGAACAGCAATGGATTCAGGGTGCTAAGGAGAGAGCCACAGCAGAGATGACACCGGAACAACGAGCCAACCTGGACCAAGCCTCATATAATCACTGGCTGAAGCGCGAGCAGCTCTGGAGGTGGGTGCAGAGGTGGAAAAGACGTGAGCCCCCCTGGGGGGAGCGGCATGGCCGGCCCCCAGACAAGAAAATTCTGAAGTGGCACACCGGCCTGCGCAAGGCTCGCAGCACTATCATCATCCAATTGAGGTCAGGGAAAACCGGACTGGCAGCTTTCCTAAACCGGTGTAAGGTACCTGAATTCCCCACCCCACGGTGCCCCTGTGGGTATGAATGGGAAACAGTCGAACATGTTCTGATACACTGCGAACGCTGGGAGCAGCAGCGTCAGGGCCTTATAAGAAATGGCAGGCTAGACAAGAGGATGCTGCTAGACACCAAGGAAGGCCTGCATCTCCTGTCAAACTGGTGGATGGAGAGCGGGATTCTAGGCCAGTTCACATTAGCACGCGAGCTGACACACTATGTACCATAAGGCCCTGAGCTGCCTTGGACCCCCAGAATCCCCTGAATCCCACATGCACTCACTCCCCTGAACTACTTAGCCCCTCCCTCTCCTCCCTCTCCTCCCCATCCCCTCGCCTCTCTCCACCTCATTTGCACCACCTCATTTTCATCCCCTCATCATCTCCTCACCCTGCCGTATAATCTCCTCTATCTACCCCTTCTGTCAATCCCCTCTACCCCCTCCTGTCACTCCCTTCTATCCTAACAGCGCCTACTATCTGTCCCTCCCGTCTTCCTTTCTTTTGTTACTCTACTTTCTCTAATTCCTTTTCCTTTGTTCCCGCTCCCATTGCAAGGAACAGCTCTAGCTGACTTGCCCGGTACCCTGCAGATGAACAGGATAGTTAACACCGCTGTGCGCAAGGTTTTTCACCCCCCTGCGCCAAGGCGCAGTGGAGTTTTCCTAGCTAGACATATGGTAGCAGAACCGCATATCCATTGGATGAAGGCGGAGTATAATAAATAATAATAATAATAATAATAATAATAATAACATCCCTATATTTTCTTCCAGCCTCTGGTAATTATCATTTTGTTCATGACATTCATTCCTTTCTATTATTTATTAAATGTCTTTCTCACCTTGCAACCATTTATTATGATCTCAACCACTTGCCATGGACTGGAAACGATAAAACGAGCTTTCTCGTTTGAGTGGTGGATATTTGTCCTTCAGTGTCATTTTTGCTTCTTTTCCCCTACCAGGTTTTCTTTTCTCTTGTCTCCTCTTTTCTCTAATCTGCCTACTCTCTTGTTTCGCTCCAAATCATTGATCCTACCCATTGCCTATCTAAATCAGATCCTCAGAATGACACTAAGCTTCAATCTTAGCAATGATGCCACTGAAGACTCACTTTTCAAGTCCGGTTGGTTCCATGATCCCTCACATTTGTCCCGACATTCCAACACCCCAGATATAGATCATACAACTGCCGCTCAGCAATCACTCTCATACCCCTAATTCTAGTTCGTACTCTTCTTGCAGCACCCTGCTGGGAGGTAAAGACAGGGATCGATAACATGAAGTACGTCCATTTTCCAATTCCATGTACCTAATCCACGGGGGAAACAAAAGCTTAACGCCTTTATATAATAGCATCGCATACTCCCCAACGACGGGATCATTGCAATTGAATGCATACCAGTAATGACAGCCGAAGATGCGGCGTTTAGCCCTTTTTCATCCGACGTTAAAGTCTTCCCAGTACTCCGTATTCGTGTTCAAATTCATCACATCCCTTGCCCCGCAGTCCGAGGTTAATGTCAGCAGCATCAAAATACCCGACTTTTGACGGAAGCAGGAATTTCCAAGCAATTATTTAACATGGCAAAAAGCAACTGCTTGGCTTCCTCCTAGGTGTAAAACCTTGAGTCTACAGCGTAACTACACTTGCGCACAAGTCCCTCTAGCTGATAGCTGCGACTTACAATTCTGATATTCCGCACCGCCGTCCTCAACGCAACCCCGCCATGGTATCTCTGCCAGGGGTCCCAGGTGGATTTAGACACTATTAATAAGTCTCTCTGCATATGAGAGCGGTTAGAAAAGGCTAACAATTATAAGTTACTCCGGAGATTCCACTTTTTGCCACCAGGAAAAGTCACTTCTTCTTCTATTAGTGTGCAACTGGAACCAATTGTTGACTTGCATGCTTGAACACATCGCAACGCATACGCTTAGTAGGCATATAAAATAGACTGCCTGAAAAAGTATCTTCTCAGGCGAAATAAGCGGCTCCATCCTTGACAAGCTCAGGCACAAGCTCCAAACCCCAAAGGAACTCTTCGACTCGTGCAATATGGGCGACGCTCCGCTCCCTCAAGAACACCTCGTGGTGATTCTTCCATTCGACGAGCCAGTCGCCTTGATAAATGATATTCGCGAAAGCTTTCCGCATATTCGAGTCTCATACTTTAGACAACAGCGCGAAACGCAGGTTCATGGTGCTGTGCCAAAAGGTGGGTTCTAAGTTGAGAATATACGTCTGCCGCTCCTATACAAATTTGCACTCTCCCACTGTGCATTTGTTTGAACGCAGCCAAGCTTGAGCATATGATCATGCAACCTGATTTTCCTTTTCTTTTGCTTTTATTATTATTATTTATACATAATCTTGAGTGTGAACGACCTACGCACATTGGTCTGATAGCCCTATTGATGATTTGCTACTTCTATTTTCGCCTTCGATTTCTTCCCCTTAGCATTCCCGTCTCTTCCTACTCAAGATTGGCAGGTCAAATTAATTATCCTTTAGTGATTTGCTGATTCTTCTGGTTTTCGCAGACCTCCTTAATTCAGCAACCATCTTATGTATGTTACATTACGCCCCGATTCTCGAGGATATTCCGAAGTACGCAATGCCCTATTCCAATGGCCGAGCATGACAAACCCTTGTTGATAGACAATATAATTTGCATTTAGTGTGAAATTCGTCCATATCGTTTCCGCAGGCATGGACCGCTACTTGAGCCATCCGCTGTTGACGGACACCGATATTGATTTAACAACTACATCCGGCATTCACGGCCCACCAACCGCAGAGTGGGTCGTTATGAACTGGCTCGTATCTTCCAAGATGTATGACCAAACTTCCGAATGGCAAAGGAAGCATATTTGGACACATAACCAGAGCCTTATGGACAAAATGGAGGATAATGTGGGCAAAAGAGTTGGTATTTTGGGATATGGAAGTATCGGACGACAAGGTATTAGCTATACGATTCCTATCAATTCCAATTTCTTGACCTCACTTGAGTTTCCTTTTCAATTGCAACAACGCTCAAAAGCCGTTATAATATCCTCCTCGTGAAAAAACATCGAGTATTGACATAACTTGCTTGAAGTTGCCCGCGTGTCTGTCGCTATGGGCATGCAAGTGCTTGCATGTACATTCTTTCCCCGCACGACTCCTGAATCCCGGCGAGATAACGGCTACATAGTCCCGAACACCGGTGACCCCGATGGGAGCCTACCGGTTTCCTGGCACAGTGGCTCTGATAAAGCAGCTCTCCACGCTTTCCTCTCCCAAAACCTGGACTACCTCCTGGTATCAGTTCCCCTAACGCCTTCAACGGAATATCTCATTGGCGCCGAAGAAATAGCCCTACTTTCGAAATCCTGTACCCGCACCACCCGCCGGCCGTTCCTGACAAACATCTCCAGAGGCATGGTGATTGATCAGGACGCATTGTTGGAGAGTCTGAAATCTGGCGAGCTAGGCGGGGCAGCCATCGATGTGACTGAACCAGAGCCACTGCCAGCTGATCACCCACTGTGGGACGCGCCGAATTTGCATATTTCACCACATATAAGTTCATTGGGAATTGAGTATTTGCAAAGGGCTTTGGATGTGCTGAAGGTGAATCTGGACCGATTGGAGAAGGGTGAGCCGTTGGTTAATCTATATAGGAGAAAAATGGGGTATTAAATTCTCTCTGGGCTCTATTCGCGTTCAGAGTATATGTATAAATTATGGCGATGCATATTTTTTTTTTTTTTCATGATAGAGTCTACTACGGTGGTATTAGCTTGAATATTATTGTTTTTACTCTATCATCCACTCCTGTCATGTTGGCTCGGTAAGAAGAAAAGGTCGGGAGGATTGACAAGCCCTCGGGTTTGTATGTACCGTACATCCCGTTGCATCATTTCAATTACCGTGGAGAATACTATATACTACTCATCTCAACAGAAAACAATCTCAATTATATCCAACTGGCCTCAGCGGCATTAGCGAAAAAGGATCACTAAATAATGAAACCTTTCAATATCAGAATGATTACCACAATTACAGGCCCAGGTCGCCAGCTAATGAAAACCAGAATAGAGAGCTGAAGGTAGACGTATATGAACAAAAAAAAAAAGAAAGACTCCCTAAATCCGTGGCCAGAGGTAGCAGGTACCACTCTAGAAACCAAGAGAAAGTGACAGGCTGCGTAACTTCGTTAAACGTCCAGTACCATGATGGTCAGGGCAATCGATGAATTAAAGAATGCAGAGAAGTAAAACTCGGGCGATAAGTTGGAGAATACGTATAAAATAAAATAAAATAACGAAAAAAAAAAAAGCAAAACTCCAAGCAAAACTAGAAAAAAGGAAACTAAATGGTATTATGAGCGGCAGCACCTACTGAGCAGATTGCACAGTCATTGCCATCAATTGATCTTGTAGCTCTTTCATCTGTTCGGCACCAATACACTCGACTGCTCCGCCTTCAGGATTGCCCTTGAGTTGTACGGCAAAATACTCGCCGTCGCCACCATAGGCACCAACTGTAACCCACACAAATTTACCCCCTGACGGTGTCATCCACGATTTCTCCTGAGTACCATGCCAAAATATCTCGCCACGGTATTCTCGTGTGGACGCCAATTCGTCGGGAATGGTTTTGTTGGAGTTGCTATCCATAGGAGCAGATAACCCTTTGCGAAGCAATACTCTGCTTCCTAATCTTCTACTCTCAAACCAGCTCCGCAGAACCTGTTGAATGAACTCAAGCTTTTCGCGGAAGGCATTTGCCTCCAATATATCGCAAAACCGGCTGCTACTAATCCCGGACGGGTGAGTCGTGTGGCCCGAGAGAGCGGCGAGATAAGTGTCCAGATTTTCAGATATAACGGCCCTTGTATCGAAGCCTGCTGGGTGCATTCTACCCCTGGTTGCTAGGTAGCGTGATGCAGAGGGTGAAAGATGATAAAAATCAGTTTGGCAAGGCCGTAACTCCGATGAGCCTTGCGATCCATGAGGCGAGAGCGAGATAACAAGTTTAGTATGATCCGGAAAGTTGAACTAGAGTTGAATAGACAAGTTAGATAATTCCATGATATCACTTCTGGCCTGGCAGTACGAACCTGGAATGCTCCGTCTCCAAAACCCCAGATGCCAACATTTCCTAAGCGCTGATAGAATTTGACATATTGATTAATTTCGCTGGAAAACCTGTTGCGGCTCCTCTCATCCTCGGGAGGACAGTCGTCATCTACACCTCTTCCTAAAGTTCCAATCATGTATTTACCGAATTGGTCGACCAGCTTGACCCGTTTGACTTTCTCCGCATCGCACCTTGCAGAGTCTACCCCACAATTCATGCGAACCTTTATGCCTGGCCCACCGGGGCCATTTTGGTTCCTCACTTCAAATGCATCCGGTCGAACGAGAACCCTTCTCACTCCACCCTCATAGTTAGAATTGTCTTGCACATCAGCGTTCTCATAAAACTCCACAGGTTGACCATTTCTTGGAACAAGTTGATTAGCATCGGCATATGCAATGCGGGGGTTTTCCTTCGAATATGCTTTCCGGCGGATATGCCGTTCTCCATCCCGGACCACCACGCAACTTGCCGGGCGTCCGTGCTCTCCCTTGAAAACGCACCCCACACTCCCATCATCCAAAACGTATCCGATACCGTACCTATTCGTATAATCCACCCACTTGACGACGTAAGGATGTGGGTCAGAAAGTGACGGAAATTGCTGACGTTTCCATGCCCTTGAAGTCGATGTTCTCCATGATTCCAATCGGTCGAAGTGTCGAAGGTAGCTTTTCAAATCGCCTAGAACTTCACGCGCGGTCGTCCCTGGCATGAGCTCTGGATGTTCGTCGGGATGTATTAGAGGACTTAGTCCGAGTGTGGATCGTGATTTGTTAGAGTTGGTAGATTTGCTGCCATAACTGCCATTGCTGTTTGTGTTCCTGGATCTTTCGTCCCGCTTCGTCTCACGGGATTCTTGTTTTTGAGTGCTTTCTGGATATTCCGGCGGTCGCTGTCTTTCTGTCTCGCGAGGATCGATTCTCACGGTCCTCACAGGCATACCGCGAACCGAGCTATGTATGCCATTATCTTTATCGTTGATATCAAGCATTTTGACTTCAAGTTTAGTTTCCGGTGCTAACTGGTTTTTTCCCTGTGTTAACGCTGCGATTTGCTGCCTCGATTGAGACCTCGTTTTCCCAATTGTCAAATTTATTGGTTCTGAAGTGGATTTAGTCAATGCGGAAGTGGACAATACGTTCGTGTCGCGGACGGATGCAGAATAGCCAGATGCCACCCTCCGCGTCCGGATCGGTCTCTCATTTAGCAGCCGCTGGGGAGGAATGCTGTCGCCCAAGGTATCATTTTCTACGGCTTCTCTGAGATCAGCTTGACGGTGCTGGGAGGATGATGGGTTCCTTGACTGTCGTTGTGACACAGCCTGCTGCCGTAGGAGTGCTGCATGGCTTTGGGTTTGAGTCTCTTTGCGGCGAATTTGTGCAACCAAAGCAGATGTTGTGCGGGCAGCCGCCGCAGCTTGTTGTTTAAGGGATGAGGTACGTGATCTAGGAAGCGGCTCGTCATCAACGGGGCTATCAGGATCAGGTTGAGCAGCGTCCTCTTCGGCTGTATGACTCCAATCCCCATTTGGTCCAGTGTAGCAGCTGTAAACTCGATCCTGTGGTATTGGTACGATGGGCTGCATTCCTCTCTCTTCTTCAGCAGCACATTCAGCGAAAGCAGATTTGGAACATCGTTTCCCTGCCGGTCTCCTGATTGATCCGGTTGAAGTCCTACCAACCCCACATTCTGTGTAAAACTGGTTTTTGCAAATAAGATACCGCTCGTCAGAGTTTTTCGTATAGGAAATTTTCCCTAGATACTTCGAGTCATGGTCAAGGCTATATCCGTAACTCATGCGATCCCCTCGAGGATCTTGAGTTGTCAGCCAGGTAGGCGGAGCAACTCGTGTGGCCGGGTCCAATTGACGTGGTATACAGCCACTATACATATTAAAAAATGCGTGATCAACAATCTGGTCGGGTTCCGGTCGTTCTTCCTCATTCAAATTCAGACAGGAGCTAACCAAGTGCTTTGCCTCCACTGGAATATAATTAGCACCCTCGGACTCCTTGGGCCACACATATGTTAGATTTTTGACTTTCTTGTAGATTTCGTCCTGCGTCTTCGATTGAAACGGGGGGTATCCGGTGAGCATGGCAAAACTGGCCCTTAGTTAATTCACAAAACTGATATAATTGAAAGCAGCAATAAGTTCTACTCACAAGATTACACCGAGGGACCATATATCGACTTTTTGATTATGGCCTCCTTTGCTTTTATCCAAAACTTCAGGCGCGATATAATTCGGAGTTCCGCACAACGTTCTCCGTCTCTTTTCGTCCTTTTCCGAGAGGATGATAGCAGCTAGACCAAAATCTCCAACTTTGATATCCATATTTCTATCGAGAAATAGATTTCCCATTTTCAGGTCCCGGTGAGCCACGTTTCTTTTATGCATGTATTTGACAGCTCCGCAAAGCTGAATCATAAATCTCCTGACCTCAGGCAAGCTTAGGCATTTCCTCTTCCTCACCATGTCCATAACGGAGCCGTGAGGGCACAGTTCCAAAATGACGTAAGTGTTTTGTTCGAAGGAAAATGCCCTATAGAAACCCACGATATTGGGATGGCACATTTTTGAATGTATTTGGAGCTCGGTTCGGAACTAGACGTGCCGAAGTTAGACATTGTAAGGTGGAAGGACAGGTTACCAGAGTATCTTTTGTCCATACCTTTTCCTCCATTTTCTTCTGGTTCATTTCCGACTTCACCACTTTCATCGCATATACCTTATTGCTTCGCGCAAGTCTTCCCTCATAGCATACGGCAAATCCCCCTTTTCCAAGAAATTTGCCAGTGATGTATTCCTCCCCCCCATCTTCTGGCTCACGAACGGTTGGGGGTGGTGGTGGAGCGTGGTTTTTGGCGGACCGCGCCTTTTGAGGTTGTGCATCTTCGGCGCCTGCCTTCGTCATGGGATCTGTCTTGGGTTTGGGAAGAATATTGGTGGACCGAGGTGACAATGCCTCCATCGTTTTATGGACTGTACAAGGGCAGACTGTACAAGGGCACTTGCTGTTTCGAGCTCATGCGATCGCAACAATCAGGAATATCTAGGTGGCCCAAATAATATTAACGTGGAAAACATTACAGGATTAAGGAGTTTTGGAGTTTGCGATGGGGGCTCGACGGTAGTCAAATAACAGAGGGTTTTGTTATTCCTCTGATCTCAGATTCGAGTTTCGATTGAGGAGCAGACTCGACAGAACTAGTAATCAAAGATGGAACGATGCGATATCCACAATAATAGCATGAAGAGAACAATAGCATTGAGGGCACCCAATACGTGTTATACGAGATATCATATCCCGCCGTGCTATTTTATGCTTGGGTGGAGTGTTGTGAGAGCAATTCACTGCCCTGCCTTGCCACATGGAGTCACGATGTATCATTTCTCAAAGTGGAATATTCAAAACATTGCCCTGGAAACGGAGAAGGTTAAAACAAGACTAAGTCCATTTAGGAACAGCATTACATAATCCGCCGTCTTTGACAAGGAGCCAATCAGCAACGACTTGGATTGCATTAGTGGAATCTTTTGGGGAACTTTGACTCGAGCTCTGGAGGCTAAGCTCATCAATCGGACGCTGGACGGCGTGGAGGCACCAGTTTCCAGCCAAATACCTGGGCCTCCGCTGGCATGGTTCCACACATCCTGGAACTGTCTTTCTCCAAACCTGAAGAGCTACAACGTCCTCTCGCCCAAGGATGTCTGTAACTCTAAAATTATCCTCGTTGATCATCCGAACACTGTCCAAACCAATTGCTGTAAGCTGGAGCCAGCACACACGCAGCTACACTGTCCCTGTCAACGTCAACCTTGAAAGCTAACTGGCTGCTGCAATCCAAAGAACCGAAATCAAAGCACAAGCGCGTGAACATTGAGCGATTCCGACGACTATGCATTTCCTTTTGCCCAGTCCCTCCACCGGGTGGATATGCGCCTTACGACTGGGACTCCTCCAGAGCTCAGCGGCAATAGAAAAACAGGCCGCACGCGAGGCTGCTGCTGAGGCCCAAGCAAAAAAACAAAAACATAATATCACTACCGTGAAAACGGAAGCGCAAACCAAACTTGAAGACTCCCTCACTGCAAAGCAAAAGGAAAAAGCCCAAGAGCCTCCCAAGCCGCCTCCGCCAATCCGGATTCGACCACTTTCAGAAGCGAAAGCCATTGATTCTGGAGCAACATTTATCAGTGAGACATTTCTGTTTCTGGTTGCTGGTGGTTTGATCGTATTCGAATCGTTCAGATCACGAAGGAAAGAATCATCAAGAAGAGAGGATGTAGCAGAACGTCTTGCTGAATTGGAAGAGTCTGAACGGGCAGCACGTCGCGGTCTCGTTGTGCTAGAGCGGGAGGTTATACAGCTGAAAGCAAAGCTAGAGAAACAGTCGCCGAGAAGCATAAAGCGCATTTTACCAAGAGAAGTTTGGGATGTTGATGAAGAGGAGGAAGCAATCGAAGAGCCTGGTTGGACATCTCGCGTTCTTGGCTACTTTACATGGCCCAAGAAGGAGAGTGTCAGCAATACGACATCTCCAGAGACTGCCAATTCTCTCAGCCCCATTATCTCCTCATCCGCATCCAAACCTTTGAATGGCTCTTCCCAACCTGCTTCCTCTTCGCCACTACCATCTCAAGCCACCAAATAAAATCTTTTTGACGGGCCATATCGAGGTCATCTTGTCATTGATACGTTCATCGTTAAAGAAATGCTAACTTATTGCATTTTTGGCTTCCAATACCCTACTTGGTCGTTAATTTTTAAAACGTATATTGTACTGCAGTCTCTGCTCATTATTCCCTCATATTTTATTCACATAACTCGTTTGTTTCCCCTTCCATGTAGAAACTAATATCTCAACTCAGCAACCCGAGAGCTCCCGTCAGTTGTCTTGAGTTCTTTTTTTTTCCATTTGCTTGTAAGCAAACTTTCTTCTACTTCAAGAACTTATAGATCGAGTTGGCTAGATGAAGTATAAAGATATTGATTAACCCATACCGTCCTTTAATTTGATTTGAGTCCGCTTCCTAGATTTATTCATTTAAGAGTGCATTTTCCTGTGAGTTCCTCTAACCTTGATAACCACAATTACCCGTTTAGGTGACGTGAAGTCTCTAGCCACAGGCCAAACTTAAGAAAGGCATACTCTACTCCGTAGTCTTCTGCACGGTCTGGTTGGACTAGAAACCTCCCTTTGTTCCTTCACTGCCGATTATGAACATTTACTCAAACACCAGCCTTCCATAGAGACTAACTTGGGTGCTTTGTCAAGCAACGCTACGTCGTGATTTCAATTGGTGCGTCGGGCTTTGTCATGCCCCTTGCCACTCAAAAGTATAACTAGTACTTTCAGACTTGTTAATGTACTGGACGAGAAGATATTCAAGATGCTGGGAATACCGTGAGAAACCCTCGGTAGCCGTGAACTATTGTCCTATTAGTAACATAACTACTCGATGAGATAAAAAATAGTAACATAACTACTCGATGAGATAAAAAATGAAATTATCTCGTATCTTTACAGTTTGGCTTGTTGACAGAGAAAACCAGTTGATCTGCTTCAATTATATATTCATGTGCTCATCCTGGGTTTTGAGAACTCAACCAAAATCGAACACTACATTCAGGTTTAGTTTCCACTGTTGCATGGGATAGGGGATCAAGCATAATGGAGCACTAGGAGCTGATTGGGCTTGAAGATGTAGTTTCATTATTAAAAAAGAAGTATATATGTGTGATTCCAAACAACCACTTCTACAGGAAGTTCATTGGAGACATCCCTAAGGTAATATTCCTATTTCCTCTATGTTTATGATTATCGGTTGATCCAAAAAGAACTTTGAGCCTTTTCACTATCGGGTTTGTCGAACAAAGCCCTTTCACCCAACATTTTCTAGGTTCTTTGTTTCGTTTTTGAGAGATCCAAGAAAGAAAGGATTTACGTCTTATACTTAATAATTGATCATAAACAACACTTGATTTTTTTTTTTTTTTTTTTTTTTTTTTTTTTTTTTTGAAAAAAGAAAAAAAAAAGAGAAAGAAAGAAAAAAGAAACACACAATTCTCACAGGAACATGGCCTAGCTCAGGTACTAAAGTTAACTGACGTCCAAAAGCGATTTAGATTTGGACCGAAAAGGGTTGCGCGTACCTCGCTTATATAAGCCATGACTAACTAGCCACCACATGGTGTGGCGCAGTCGCTGTAAGCGCCGCATCATCATCATCGACGTCGGGAATCAAAAGCAACTGTCTACCCACATGCACTTCATGACTTTAGTCTTCTGTTGTTGTCCTGCTTCTTCTGTATTCTGAGCCTGTATTTCTTTCTGGAGCCAGCTACGGAGACTTTCTGCAGGTCGAGGATTTATGCAGTTGCTGCTTTGTTTGCGCCCATACATCCACTCTTTCAGGAGACGTTAGTTAGTATCCATAGAGCCTGTCCGACCTGGCCCGAATAACCAAACACGCGCCCGACGCAACCCAAGAATATGGTCAGTACCAGTCTCGCAGATTCTTGTTGTGCAATTTAGATCCCTAACTCTATTTTCTTCAGGGACAATCACGACGCCCTCGAGACCCCGAGAAGAAGAGCCGCGGGTTCGGACGGTCGAGGCATGGTGAGGGCGGGGCAGGGGGAAAACCTCAGGTTAAAAAGGCCGTATTCGAAAGCACAAAAAAGAAGGAGGTTGGAGTGTCAGATCTTACGCTCCTCAGCAAAGTATCGAATGAGGCCATAAATGAGAACTTGAAAAAGAGATTTGAACATGGCGAAATTTACGTATGGCTGCCTTCCGGAGCGCGCACCCACGCCTACTTACGCCCTAGCTGACAACTTCCTTTGGGATACAGACATACATCGGTCATGTCCTTGTATCTGTGAACCCATTTAGAGACCGTAAGTCAAATCTATCTTATACAAAAAGGCCAGAGTGACATACTGATCATCACAGTGGGTATCTATACCGACAAGGTCCTTGATTCCTACCGCGGCAAAAACCGACTTGAAGTTCCCCCACATGTTTTTCGCTGTCGCTGAAGCAGGATATTATAACATGAAAAGCATACAATGGAGAATCAATGTGTCATTATCTCGGGCCGAAATCCGGTGCTGGGAAAAACCCGAAGCTGCAAAGCGCCTGATGCAGTATATTGGCGGAATGGTGTCAAGGTGCAAGCGATTCTTCCATCCAGCATACCAAAGACATGGTTCTGGCGACTAACCCTCTTCTCGAGTCCTTCGGTAATGCGAAAACCTTGCGGAATAATAACTCGTCGCGGTTCGGAAAATATCTAGAATTACAATTCAATTCTGTTGGTGAGCCTGTCGGCGCCACGATTACAAATTATCTCCTGGAGAAATCTAGAGTCGTTGGGCAAATCACGAATGAACGAAACTTCCATATCTTTTATCAATTTACAAAAGCTTCACCGCAGACCTATAGAGGTATTTAAAATGGCATCCTTCAATGGAGTACTCGTCAAGCTGACAAATAATCCAGATAACTTCGGCATCCAACAACCGCAGTCTTATGTGTATACAAGCCGCTCCAAATGTTTTGATGTCCCAGGCATAGATGATACTACTGATTTCAAAGATACATTAAACGCCATGAACATCATTGGTTTATCCCAAGCCGAACAAGATAATATCTTCCGCGTTCTGTCAGCTATTTTATGGCTCGGAAATATGCAATTTATCGAAGATGACAGTTCCAACGTTTCAATAACGGATCAGTCGGTGGTGGATTTCGTCGCCTACTTATTAGAAGTTGATGCCGCTGCCGTGAACAAGGCCCTTACGTTGAGAATTATGGAAACTGCCAGAGGCGGGGCGCAGGGGTTCCGTGTATGAGGTTCCTTTGAACGTTGTCCAAGCCACTGCTGTTCGAGACGCACTCGCAAAAGCCCTTTATTTTAACATGTTTGATTGGATTGTTCAGCGAGTTAAATGCTTCACTTGCAGCTAGGGGCTCTGTGGAAAACTCCATCGGTATCCTGGATATTTATGGGTTCGAGATTTTTGAGAAAAACTCTTTCGAACAACTCTGCATCAACTACGTCAACGAAAAGCTACAGCAAATTTTCATCCAGCTTACCTTAAAGACGGAACAAGAAGAATACGCTCGCGAGCAAATCAAGTGGACTCCCATTACATACTTTGATAACAAAGTTGTGTGTTCCTTGATTGAAGATAAACGACCACCTGGGATTTTCGCCGCGTTGAATGACGCTTGTGCAACTGCACATGCTGACTCCGGCGCGGCTGATCAGACGTTTGTAGGAAGGCTGAATTTCCTTAGTCAAAATCCAAACTTCGAGTCCAGGCAGGGCCAATTTATTGTAAAGCATTATGCTGGCGACGTTGGTTACACTGTGGATGGAATGACGGACAAAAATAAGGATCAGCTATTGAAAGACTTGCTTAATCTAGTGGGCTCGAGTAGTAACCGCTTCATGCATACACTCTTCCCCAACCAGGTTAATCAGGACGACAAGCGTCGGCCGCCAACTGCCGGCGACAAGATTAAAGCATCTGCAAACGACCTCGTTGCGACTTTAATGAAGGCACAACCGTCATACATCAGAACTATAAAACCGAACGACAACAAATCACCATCCGAGTACAATGTTGGCAATGTGATGCATCAAATCAAATACCTTGGTCTACAGGAGAACGTCCGAATCCGCAGAGCGGGGTTCGCCTACCGCCAAACTTTTGACAAGTTTGTCGAACGCTTCTATCTGTTGTCACCGAAGACTTCATATGCTGGTGATTGCACCTGGACTGGGGACGCTGAATCGGGGGCGAGGCAGATCCTGAAAGACACTAGCATCCCCGCAGAGGAATATCAGATGGGTACTACAAAAGCTTTCATAAAAACCCCTGAGACCCTGTTCGCACTTGAACACATGCGGGATAGATACTGGCATAACATGGCCATCCGTATTCAGCGAGCTTGGCGAAACTACCTCCGATACCGAATTGAATGTGCTATCCGAATCCAAAGGTTCTGGAGACGGGTCACGGGAGGGCTGGAATATATCAAACTCCGAGACCAGGGCCACAGAATTCTTGGTGGAATGAAGGAAAGACGTAGATACAGTCTTGTTGGCTCGCGAAGATTCCTTGGTGATTATCTTGGAGTTGGAAACAATGGAGGCCCTGGAGAAATGATCAGGGATTCCATTCGCATTAGCAGTAAGTGTTGTTACCATTAATACCCATTTATATACAATTGAACAAATGCTAACTGCCCAAAACATCAGAATCCGAAACTATTTTATTCTCCTGCCGCTGTGAGCTCCTTGTTACCAAATTCGGTCGTTCAAGTAAACCTTCTCCACGAATTTTAATTCTAGTATGTGCACCTCCTCTTTAGCATAACTTCGATGCCTCAGCTGACCTGCCATTGTTACAAGACATCAAACAATGTTTACATTGTCGTCCAAAGCGTCGTAAATAATCAATTGAATATTTCCGCGGAAAGAACAATATCCATCGGTGCAATCAAGTTCGTCAGCGCGTCCAAATTGAAAGATGACTGGTTTGCTCTTGGAGTTGGTTCTCCCCAGGAGCCCGATCCCCTTATCAGCTGTGTATTTAAGACAGAATTTTTTGCATACCTCTCCAATGCGCTGCGCGGCCAACTCAACCTCAAGGTCGCCGACACGTAAGTTTTTCACTTTCTCGCCTAAAGTGAATACATTTATTGCCTGCAAGCTAACAAGCTCCAGTATCGAATATAATAAGAAGCCAGGCAAGTTGGCAGTAATAAAGACAATGAAAGATCCAGCAATTGCTCGGGATGATCTGTATAAAAGTGGGACAATCCACACCAGTCAAGGAGAACCACCAAATTCTGTATCAAAACCAACTCCAAGACCGAAGCAAGTTGCTGGCAAGCCCATAACCAAAGGCAAATTGCTCCGACCCGGTGGACCTGGAGGAGCGCCATCAAAACTGGCGTCGCGACCAACTGCTTCAAAGCCAACACCCACACCTCAACCTCTACCGAACGCTACCACCAAAGCCACAGGTATGAGTTCTCGACCCGCACCAGAGGCTACAATGCCCGTTGGTGCCAACTCCTCCAGCCATACCAGAAATACCTCAGACAAGCTCGAGCACCTCCTCCACCACCTCCTCCGGGCCGCACCGCCAGCAGCCAAAAAAGATACCGCCAAGGTTTTGTATGACTTCAACAGTGAGCGCTCTAACGAGC